TGTGAGCTTTTGAATCTTTTCCTTATTTTTTATGGTAATAGTTTCCTATTTAGTCAACTTTATTCGCAATTCTAAATCAGCTTTTATCATTATTTCTTTAACTTGTTAAGCTTCTTACTCTTCCTCTGCTTTTATCTCGATATCTGCTCCTATTCTAACTATAACCAATATGGGTCAAAGTTTGAAGTTTTGATATCATATTTCATGAAAGTAAAAAAATCAAAAATAAATGAAGCGGAAAGAAAGTATTTTTTTTCTAAAAAAAAATGAAAGGAATAATAATTTAAATAGTTTAATTTAATTTTAAAAGTTTAATTTACTTTCATCATTAAGTTGATTTAGTTGATCAATAAACTTCAATTATTATCAATGGTATTGTTCTATTTGATTAAACTTTTATCAAATTATACTTTTTCACATGCTTTTAATATAAATGTTGAATAAAATCTGCATATATATTTAATTTTATTGATCGTTAAATTTTTTTGCCTAATTCTTGTTTTTTTTTTAAAAAAATGATCAAACGAAAATTGAATAACAAATTAGCAATAGTTACAAGACATATAAAAGTTCAACTAAAAGTGCAATGTAACTACATGAAATGTAATGGTTATTTGGTTGATACTCAAATCTGGAAAACCCACAAATAAAATATAATTGACTTAAAACTTCTATTTCTAAAAGGAAAAAAAAGAAACGGAAACCTCTAGATCAAAAATACAATCAAAATCTATTAGGATTAATTCGCAAAATTCAGATCACAATGATGATGTTATACAACCTAATTTGGCCAGTTTTTCACAAGACCTTGATGACGATATTTTGTAAAACAAATATTCTTTACCTAATTTGGCTAGTTCTTCACAAAAACTTGATGACAATATTTTATTAGATGAGGATTCTTATCAAATTCAGTCAATTCTTTACAAGACCTCGATGATGATATTTCATCTGGAATTAGTTTTCTTGCAATATATTTGGCATATTTATCAGGATTTTCTGCTAATCGCATTTTT